TTTTTTTTTTTTTTGTCCTTAGCTTTAATTTCATTTAGCAGGTGATTTATATTAAACATCTCTCAAAACCAACAGACTTCTAAATTGTGCTCAATAGCCCTCTTACTTGAAATGGTATCTAACAAAGGAGTTAGTTCATAATAGGAGTTAAACTTCTCCGCTCATGCAATTTAATAATTAAACATCACTTGTTTGAGAAGACTGATCACTCTGAAGAGTGAAATATTTTTACTTTTGAGTAGAAATCAAGTAATACAGAGCTGCCCCTGCAGTCTAGAGGTTTAGAGAGCCAAGACCCACATGATCTACAATAGTTTAAATTCTGGCCAGGGGACTTGAAAAATACACAAAGCATGACACATGTGCGTGCATGCTCAAAATCCCAACAGGTGGAGAAAAAGAGAAGAGACTGCAGCATGACCATGCCCCATTAAAGAATTGCTTTTTCTTTCTCTCTCTAGCAAGTGCATGTGCCCTCTGGCAATTTGAAAAAAAAAACAAACAAACAAACAAACAAATAAACCTCTCATACTACTTTTAGCAAATCTTTTTATTTTGCTCATGTCTTCAGACTCTTCTTTTATTTTTTTTAAATGTTTATTTAATTTTATTCATTATTGTTTATTCTGACCAGAAAGAAAGATGCAGAGAGAGAGAGAGAGAATGAGAAAACAAGTCGCTAGGTCTGGGACTTGAACCATGGTCAGCCATGAGGGAGTCCAGCACCTTAACCACCAAGCCACATTCTGGCCCCTAGCCCCTTTTTAAAGGAAGATGTCTTCTCTTCTTTTCTAAGATTAACTACATTATATATAAACTGTTCTGACTTATTCTATCTTGGTATCAAATTTTCTCTTAAATTTGCAGTTATCTTTGATTCCTTTCTCCTATCTTAAAGACAAAGGATCCTGTCTTCTTTAAAAGCACAACTACTGGTACCAGCAGATAGTGGAATAGTTACATCACTGGATTCCCATGTAGTCAAGCACAGTTTGAGTCCTGTTCTCAGCAGCTTAAAACGCACGCCCAATTCATGTGAGTGCGTGCCCAAAATCCCAAGAAGAGAATGGAGGAGAAGGGACTGTGGCTTGGCCATCCCCCTGGGAGGGGGGTGATTTCTCACTTTCTGTCTCTGTGTCTCTAGTGAGTGCATGCACCCTATAGCAAAACAAAAACAAAAACAAAAACAAACCTCCCTTTAAAAAAAAAAAAATTAGGGACTAGCAGTTAGCGTAATGGCTATGTCGCTGGACTCCCATGTAGTCGACCACAGTTTCAGTGCCGGACCCGGTGGCTTAAACTCACGCCGGGCACGTGTGTGTGCGTGCCCAAGATCCCGAGTGGAGAATGGAGGAGAAGGGGTTGTGGTGTGACCATCCCCTCTTGGGGGTGACTTCTCACTTTCTGTCTCTGTCTCTGTCTTTCTGGTGAGTGCACGCGCCCTAGCACAAAAACCTCTCTAAAAAAAGAAAAAAAAAATAGAGGGGCCAGCAGGTAGCATGGTGGTTTGGGGCACTGGACTCCCACATGGCTAAGTGCAGTTCAAGTCCTGGACCTGGCAGCTTGCTCTCCATCTTTCTCTTCTCTTTCTGTCTATCTCTGGTGAAAATGGGAAAATAATAAAAAATACATAATTCTTAAAAAAAAAAAAAGGAAGAAAAAAGAAAAAAGCACAGCTACCCTTTGCCGCCTTCACCTGCCTTCAGGTATTTGGATCCTTATGGCTTTGAATGCCTCTAGGAAGACAGAAGAAAGCTCTGAGGGCAATGTCTTGTATCTTTTTTATATCCTTCAGAGTGCTCAATAAGTTTTTTATTTTGAATTGCCAGAGGACATATGCACTTGTCTGAGAAAGAGAGAGAGAGGCCAGCAGGTGGTATGTAGTTCAGGTACAGGACCCTCCCACATGGCTGACAGTGGTTGGAGTCCTGGACCTGGTGGCTTTCTTTCCCTCCCTCTCTCTCTGCCTCTCTCTGGTTGAACGCACGTGCCCTGTAGCAAGATAAAAAAAAAAAATAAGAAGAAGAAATAATTATTTTAAAAAGAAAGAGAGCAAACACCCCATTGGGGCATGGTCACACAGCAATCCCTTATCTTCCATTTCTCCATCCTGTTGGTATTTTGGGGACATATTTGCATGTGCCCAGTATGTTTTTTCAAGCAACTGGAGCCAGGATTCAAACCATGGTCGGCCATGTGGGACCCAGGCCCTTAACCATAAGCTATGGGGCAGGCCCACGTACTGTTTTTCAAGTTTACTTATTCATTTCTTCCATGAGCACCCTCAATAGAGCCTTGACACTACAGTCTACCCACAACCTCAGCCATCCCTGCATCATAAGAATGCACATGCCAGGACCAGCAGATGGCAGAATGGCTAAGTCACTGGACTTCCATGTAGTCAACTGTGGTTCAAGTCCCAGACCCAGTGACTTAAACTCACGTTGGGTGCCTGTGCATGCGTGCCCAAGATTCCAAGAGGAGAATGGAGGAGAAAGGATTCCGGAGTAGCCAGCACCCTGAGGTGTGATTTCTCACTTTCTGTCTCTCTGTCTCTCTTGGTCTTTCTGGAGAGCGCACGTGCCCTATAGCAAAAACAAACAAACAAACACTTCTCTAAAAAAGAAAAAAAAAAAAAAAAAAGAACACACATGCCTAGCATACTTAAATGCCTAGCATACTTAAGGAAGGCTCCAGACCCAAACCTGAAACCTTCTCATGTGAATCAGCCTTTCAGGGTGTTCCATTTTAACACTGTCCCACCATCCAACCCTTCAATAATACTTGCCATTACACTAACTGCTGGTCCCCAATGAGTACTTTTTAAGGATGAAATTAATTATTCAACCCTTGAACATTTTCAAGTTATATATAAACTAAAGTAGTTGAGAGTATTCTATTATGCAAGTAAAATATGGTACAGACAACAAATGATCATAGAAATAAATATCTAGATCTAAATTTTAGGTCTTAATAGGCTGACAACAGATTTCTTATACAATGAAATAAGAGTTGTGGAAAATCCAAGTTATAGGGACCAGCCAGTGACATGATGTTAAGGCAGCTGGATCCCACATGGCCAACTATGCAGTTCAAAAACATGTTTGGCATGTGTGCATACACGCCCATAATCTCAAAAGGAGAGAGAGATGGAGAAGGGACTGCAGCAAAGCTAGCCCCCATGGGAGGTGATTTCTCACTTTCCCTTTCTCTCTCTTCCTCTCTCCTCTCAGGAAACACATGTGCCCTCTAGCAGATTAAAAATGAATTAAAGAAAAATCAACTTATATTTGGCCACCAACTATTTTATTCTAAAATCTACACTTATATTAAATTTCTTATTACTTATTAGTTTATTTCTTCCATAGGTAAGATATAAAGAGAGAGAATGAAACAGTGTCCCACCCCATGTTGCAATCTACCCCTAACTTCAGTCACTCCCAATCATGGGCACATATGTGCTCAGCATGCTCAGGGAGGTCTTCAGACACAAACCTAGAATCCTCCATGTAGGTCAGCCTTGCAGAGTGTAGTTTTACCACAGCACTGCCCACTGGCCCTCCATTATGTTACACTTAATTAAACATCACACAACTAATTCATGACCCCTTTTCAAAATATATTTTCATTAGGGCATTAGGATCAGTTCTATGTTAAATTCTCTGAATAAACTAGATACAATGAGAGTACTTCAGAAGAGGGACCTTTGCTCCTCACATCAGTAATTAGTAGCTACTTTGATTCTCTATATTAAAATAAAGTTTAGGCCCAGCCATGGTGAAACGAGTAGTAGGGAGGCACTGCATGATGTTGGAGCCATGTGGGAAAGGGTTAGGGTTCAGACCCAAGGTTACCCTGAGTGTGTGATCCTGGTTGCCTGTAAGGTAGAGGGAGAGAGTAGTGTTACTCAATAGTGAGACCCTGTCAAAGAAGCCTATCCCTCTCTCATTCCATCTTTCTCTCTCTGTAAAAAGAAAGAAATTTGAAGGAAAAAAACCTTAAAATGTTTATAAGCATGAAACAAGACTTTAAATGCTTTACCTGAAGAATAACAACTATCCAGGTCAGTCGGTTATATCCCTGAAAAAATCCATTCTTTGATACCAATTCACCATCATAAATGTATACACCCATTAATCCAAATATACTCCCAAAGAAACCTAAAAAAAATTGTAAAGTCCATGTCATATTATATGTAGTTTGTCTGAAGAAGCATTTTTCCTTTGACATTTCAAATAACTTTATACTTAGCTTTTTGATAAAATTTAACTACCTTTCAAAATTTTTACTTGACTAATATAGTTAACTAAAGTATACTTGGTATTATATTATGACAATAAGACAATGACATAGAATATAAAAAGACAAAGACTTAGGAATATGTAAGAGGATGAACAAATGTTAAGGTGGCTGGATCCCACAGGCTGACTGTGCAGTTTGAGACTTGTACCTGGCAACTAGAAAAACAAACAAGGCATGTATGTCCGCACCCAAAAATCCCAAGAAGAGAGTGGAGGAGAAGGAACTGCGGCATGGCCAACCCCCCTACCCACTGCGGAGTGATTTCTCACTTTCCTTCTATCTCCAGCATGTGCACATGTCCTACAGCAAAAACTTAAAAAAAAAAAAAGAGGAAAGGAAAGAAAGAAAGAAAGAAAGAAAAGAAAAAGAACACACATTATGAATTTCGGACTAAAATATATGTAGAACGCTTGATTTGGGCATATGTCATTGCATCTTACATCTTCCTACTGCCGGGATTAGATTTTCATGTATTTACATGCATATGAAGGATCTTCAAAAAGTTCTTGAAAAAGGTATATTATAAAAACAGCCACAAGAAGGGCTGGAAGGTGGCACAGTGGTTGGGGTGCTGGACTCCCACATGGCCAACTATGGTTCAAGTCCTGGACCTAGCAGCTTGCTTTCTCACTTTCCCTTTCTCCCCTTCTCAGTCTCTCTCTGGTCAAATTAAAAATAATAATAACAAATAAAGTAAAATAAGTAATTCTTAAAAAAAAAAAAAGTAGCACAGCCACTGAACACTGCACACAGGGAGTTGGATTCCATGTGGCCAACTACAATTTGGGCCCCAGCCTTTGGTGGCTCAAAATGCTCACCAGGTGCATGTGCAAGAGTGCCTAGGATCCTAGCAGAATGGAAAAGTGGAGAAAGGGACTGTGGGACTTCTACAGCCCATTTACGGATCTTTCTCATGCACTCACTAGTGCATTAGTCCTCTGGCAACAAATAAAAAAGTAAAGCCACACATGGATTTAAAAAATTTTTACACCAAAATAAATTCATACTTTAATTCTATTTTCCCACAAACTTTTAAAGTATCCTCATTATAGTTTAGATATATGACACAGTATTCTCTTAAGAAGTCTTGAAAGCACAACAATTAATATGCAAAAACTCAAGTCAAAGAAACAGTCACACGCAACATCAGAATCTGTTATAAGTCTCATTGCCAGAGTAGTTCAGTGAGAACAGAAACTATGTCTTGTTCACTGTCAAATCCTTTTCTTCTACATACCTAATCACATGACTAATGCTTCTCAGAAATTTCCAGGGGCACTACTAGGCTATGAATTAAAAAATGGATGACTACAGGGTCTACTTCTTTTTTTTTTTGGAGAGGTTTCTGCTATAGGGCGCATGCACTCGCCAGAAAGACAAAGAGAGACAGAGAGACAGAAAGCGAGAAATCACCCCCCGGGGGGATGGCTATGCTGCAATCCCTTCTCCTCCATTCTCCTCTCGGGATCTTGGGCACACACACACATGAGCCCAGTGTGAGTTTAAGCCACTAGGTCCGGGAATCCGAACCTCGGTCAACTACATGAGAGTCCAGCGACATAGCTATTACGCTAACTGCTGGTCTCCCAGGTCTATTTCTTATAGGTAGTATTTGGAATATAAGCAGTCAAAGAACACAGGTATGAAGCAATTCTTTTTTTTTTTTTTTTGAGAGGTTTTCGCTATAGGGCGCGGGCGCTTGCCAGACAGAGAGAGAGAGACATAGAGACAGAAAGCGAGAAATCACCCCCCAGAGGGGATGGTCACGCCGCAATCCCTTCTCCTCCATTCTCCTCTCGGGATCTTGGGCACGCATGCCCACGCGCCCGGCATGAGTTTTAAGCCACCAGGTCCAGGACGTGAACCGCAGTTGACTACGTGGGAGTCCAGCGACATAGCCATTACGCTAACTCATGGTTCCCTGAAGCAATGTTTTAAATAACAGCATAATTGGGCGTTGCCTTTTTTCCCCCTATAAAATCGCAGCGCATTGGTGTAGCACTAGGCAGAAGAAGCCAGATCCCACATGGCTCAAAGGCATGCCCAGAAATAGGGTAGAAAACTGGAGGAAGAGGACTGTGGTGTGACCACTCTCTACTCAGGTGTCTACACATACATGTGGGTACATATTCTCTCTTTCTCTCTAATGTGCATGCACACATACACTCTAAATAAAATAATAATCACAACTAATCAAATTATTCTATGATGGAATGGAACTGAAAAGGATATGAAATTATCTAGAATTTTATTTATGCCAGCTATACTCTTTTAATACATCTAATTTTGAATATGGAATTAATGCTGGCATGTAATTTTAATAACACACTGAAGGTGTTAAATTTTTTAAAATTATAAAAGTAACACTTGCTAATTGCTTTTAAAAGTGTATGTATAAAAGGACATGAAAATGTTAACATGTCAGTGTAACCAGCAGGTGGCAGGGTGGTTAAGGCGCTGGACTCCCACATGACTGACTACAGTTCAAGTCCTGGATCTGGCAGCTTGCTTTCTCACATTCTCTCTCTCTCTCTCTCTCTCTATAGTGAGCTCACATGCTCTATATGAAACTGAAAAATAATAGTAATAATAAATAAGATTAAATAAATGTTTTTAAAAATACGTCAGTGTGTACAGACCCACTGCATTCTAATAGCTGCATAATATTCCACTGTGTAGATGATGAGAATATGAAATAACATCTGTAACACCAAGTGCCAGGAACTGTTCTAAGTGCTTTATGTGTGTTGACCCACTACAATCATACAGGATGGATACTTTCAGGCCCATTATAGAGCTGAAGAAGCTGTAGCACAGAAAGGTTAAATAGCTTGCCTTAGCTCACTCTACTGGTAAATAATGAACTCAGGCAGTGTGGTTCTGAAATCCATGATTTTTTTTTTAAGTGTTTACTATAGGGCACATGTGTTCACCACCACAGAAAGACAGAGAGAGAGAGAAAGAGAGAGGGAAAGTGAGAAATCAACTCTGGGGGGATGGCCACACTACAATCCCTTCTTCTCTAGTCTCCTCTTGGGATTTGGGCATTCATGTACACGTGCAGCTGCCTTAACCATCATGCCACCAAATGGCCCTATTCTCTGTTTTTTATTGTAACCAATGGTAGAATGAATAACCTTGGACATCTGTCTTTGTGTTCCTACAGAATAAACTTTTATTCAGATATAAAATTCTTGCATACAAGCCTACATTAAAAAAAAAAATTGTCAGAGGACATGTATGCAAGCCAGCAGAGAGAGGGAGAGGGAAAAAGGACTCCCTAGTGGGGCATGGTCATGTCGCAATTCATTCTCCATTTCTCCACCCTGTCAGGACTCGGGGCACACATGCACACATAGCTGGTATGTTTCTCAAGCCACCTGGGCAAGATTCAAATCATGTACTTAGTAGCCATGGATATGACTCCCTTAACCACTATGCTACAGAGCCCACCCAAAAATCTACACTTATTTAAAATTTTGGTAAACATTACCAAATTGAGATTCAACAATATATCAATCTATATTTCTAGCAATCACAGAAAATAGAGTTCCTATTTCTCTACTCTCTGGCTAACATTAAACCTTATTAATTTGCTAATCTTTAACAATTTCATATTTTAAAAAATTGGTATTACATTGTTTTAATATTTTATTATGTAAACTGAATTGTCTATAATTTATTTAAATATCCTATCAAAACTTTCAGTCAGCTTATCATTTTTTCTATGATTACTGTGCTATGAAGTCAAATAAAAAAAGAATAATGAAACACTATAAAATCATAATGTTTGACTTGTCTTCCATTTTAATCTTACAACTCAAGGGACAAGCAGTTGGTGTAATGGCTATGTCACTGGACTCCTGTGTAGCCAAACGCAGTTCAAGTCCTGGACCCAGCGGCTTAGACTCGCACCGAGCACATGTGTGTGTGTGCCCAAGATCCTGGGAGAAGAATGGAGGAAAAGGGATTGCAGCATGGCCATACCCGCTGGGGGGTGATTTCTTGCTTTTTATCTGTCTCTCTCTCTAGCGAGTACATGCACCCTACAGCAAAAATCTCTCAAAAAAAAAATCTTACAACTCAAAAAAATTTAGGCAACTCACACAAACCTTGAATATATTTCTTTCTTTCCTGATATTTGCAATATTTATATAAAGAACCACTTATTAATGCTTACTAAATACAAGGGTTTATTCTAAACAGTTTAGAGGTATCATGTCATTTAATCTTTATAGCATTATATAAAGAACTATAATCAAGTATGAAAGTATGTTTTACAGATGAGGCAAGTTAAACAGAGAAAGGTTGAGTAACTTCCCTAATGTCACATAGTGAAGTGATGAAATCAGGGTTTGAGTAATCTGACTTCAAAAGTAGTGTTCTTGGCCACTCTGAAATACATTTTTCTGAAACAGGATTAAACTGCTTTTCAAACCTGTGAACTTGCCTTCTACACAAACTAAACAAGAGCAAGCTAATTAAATGTTCCTTTAAAGATATTTAGCTTGACTACTAAGGCTTATTTAATCTTAATCCATCTTTCTCTGTGAGAAAAGTATGCAAGTTATCTGCAGTATATTCTGGGAAAGAAGTGGCAACTGAGGATAGAGTTACTAAGGCTCCAAAAAGTTACTGAGGCTTCTGTCCTCTGTGAGGACAGAAATAGGCTACCCCTTTATGTCCCACATACAGAAATCTATGTTCTTGAATAAAAGGCATTCATTTAAAATACAATCTTAAAAAATATATTTACTTATTTATTTATTTATTTACTTACCTATTTATTTGTTGTGATTTTCAAGCTGCTAGGTCTGGACTCGAACTGCAGTCAGCCATGTGAGAATCCAGTGCTCTAACCACCACACCACCAGCTGGCTCCTAACATACAATTTTTTTAAAAAGGCAAAAACGGAGGCCAGCAGATGGCATAGCAGTTACATCACTGGACTCCTACATGGCTGACTGAGTTCAAGTCCCAGACCCGGTGGTTTGAAACTCACACTGGCACAAGTGTGTGCATGCCCAAGATCCTGAGAGGGGAATGGAGGAGAAGGGATTGTGGCATGGCCATCCCCCATGGGGGTGATTTCTCACTTTCCCTCTCACTGTCTCTGTCTCTCCAATAAGCACATGCATCCTAAGGCAAAAACAATCAAACAAAAACTCTACCAAAAAAAAAAAAAAAAGGCACAAAAACAGGGGATAGCAGGTTTCCTAGTGGTTAAGGCAGTGGACTTCCACATGGCTGACTGTTGTTCAAGTCCTAGATACACTGGCTTGAAACTCACGCTGGATTTGTGTGTATGTGTGCCCAAAATCCCAAGAAGAAACTGGAGGAGGAATTGCGGCATGGCCATCCCTGCTGAGGGGTTGATTTCTCATTTTCCATTTCTCTGTCTCTCTCTGGAGTGCATGTGCCCTATGGGAAAAACTCTTAAAAAAATAAAAAGGCAAAATCATTGTATTTGGATTAATAACAATTTTATGCTCAGCTTATTTATTAAAGATGTATAGAAAATGTTAAATATAACAATATAATCACTTTTTTAAAATATGAGAAAACATTTAAAACTTACCAAGCTGAATGTTTCTTATCCATACTGACTGTTTTGTTTCTTTTAAAATTTTCTCAAAATAAACTCCAGCAAAGCCACTTGAAAAACAGGCTGTGAGAACTGCCATGAGGCCCACAAATTGAGAGCCAGCTGAAAGCTCCTTAGAATCAACCTCTTGAGAATCAGAAGGCCACTGAAAAAAAGGAAAAATAAAACTGAAGTTTAATTCCTATATTTTACAAGTACATATTAAGAGCCCATTTTTAGACCTTAAGACAAAAATGCAACATCAATCCTGGAAATTGCAAAGGAGAGGTTTTGAAAGAAAACCTTAGAATCATTGATTTCTTTCCCCAACAATGATAACATATTAGTATTGGAAGTTATCATTTAAAAAAATACTCTAAGGAATAATAAATATTTTACATTTTGTCTCCTACAGAAACTAATCTCTCTCTTAAGATAGTTCTTTAAAGTTTAATTTTTAAAACACACCATTTCAAATATACTTAGATGAAAAGATGAGACTCTTACATTCCTCTTTTGCCAATGCAGGGAACAGGTGGAAAGAGATATGCAAAATCAAACCAAATAAAGGAAGACTGTTGAAGGGTGAATCAAATACTGACACCAAAAGGTAATCCATCAGAAAATGAAGGAAAAGTTCAGGTACACTATAAAAGAAGTGTGTCAGCACTCTAGGGTCATCCTCCTAGGCATGGTATCCTGTGGCTTAGATATTACAGATCTATAACCTAATCGATGGATACCCTATAACTACTGTTACATTCTCTCTCACATCTATTTCCTCACTCCTCTGTATGATATTCTACTAACGGGTTTCTTAAAGCCACTTTTCCTTCTGAATCCATACTTTTCGTGGCTACGAAAGACTCTTCAGTATGTTTTCTTCTTCTTCTCCTCCTCCTCTCTTTTTTTTTTTAAGGTTTTTGCCATAGGGCTTGTGCACTCACCAGAAAGAGAAAGAAGACAGAGACAGTGAAACGGAAAGTGAGAAATCAGGGGGTATGGCCAAACTGCAATCCCTTCTTCTCCATTCTCTTTCTGGGATTTTGGGCATGCACACACACATATCCAGCATGATTTTCAAACTTGGGTCCAGGACTCAAACCACATATGTTGGCCATATGAAAGTCCAGCACCTTAACCTTTATGCCACCTGCTGGCCCCAGTGTAATTACTTGTAAAAACAAAATTTTAATTCCCTATTCAATTAGCCTTCCCTGCAGCATTTAACATTATTGACTACTCATTCTTTGCTGCTTAAAACTATTTGCACTTTTCTTGGTCTCTTCCCAAATTTCATATCTATGCTACACAACAGGTTTCCTGTGGTGACGGAATGTCCCATAGAGTAGCAAAGGTAGCCATCTATGGTGCTGAGCACTTGAAATGTGGCAGTGTGACTGAAGAAAGGAAATTTTAGTTCACTGTAATTAAACTTAAATAGTCATATTGCCTGGTGGCTCCCCTACTGGATGGGATAGCTTGACAGCATGGTTTTTACCAATCTCCTCTAGCTTGGAGAATTAATTCAGGGAAGCAATGACATCTCTCTGAGCTCAAGTCCAAGATGTCAATTGTTACAATTCAGAAGTTTCTTATCTCCTTTAAGCCAATGTGACTAAATTTATTCATCCCTCCCTAAAACCAGTATACATTTAATGCTTTTATTTTTATTTAAAATGCCACCATACAAACAAGTTTTGAAGATATCTTGATCTCCGCTCCCTGTCGTATTTATTAGTTTCCAATTCATACTGATTCTTCCCACATAACAACTCTTACATCACTACACTGGGATATTCCATTCCCACTAACAGGACAATTCACATCCACGCAGGCTTTCTAACTGCTCTAAATTCCTCCAGTCTTTCTCCCCACCAATCCTCCCTTTTTGCCTACAGGACTTCCCTGATAGGCGTTCTCCCTTCCAAATCTCCAGTGAGGACTTAAGCCTATACCAATCAAATATAAGGTCTTACCTCAATACTAAAGACCGCATATAATCTGTCAATCCTTTATTTCAAACAAATACGTTTATCACCATTCCATAACCTATCTTATGCTTACTCACAGCTGCACAAATGTATACATTTTTAAATATCCCTTTTCCTGTAATGCATTTTTTCCCCTTGTGCTTCAGACCTACTAAAACATAAAGAATGGGAAAAGTTTTAAGGTGTTCTGGTTATGCTATTATTAGATCTGTGATCTTGAATACTTTAGTTCATGTTTCTGAACTTCAATTCTTCTAGAAGTTGGGAAGAATAATTTGTATCTTGTACAGGTACTACATGAGGTAACACAGATAAGCACCAAGCAGGGTATCTGGCATGTATGTACACAATATACAGGTTCCATTATAACTATTATCTTAAACAGTTTAGGTTTAAAAATATAACTCCTTCATTTATCTTAGAATTAGTTAACTTTATTATTGTTTTCATTTGCTATGGGTATGTGTACTCACCAGAGAGAGACAGAGAGAGAGAAGTGAGAAGGCAAGTCCCCAGGTCCAGGACTCAAACTGTAGTTGGCCATGTGGGAGCCCAGTGCCTTAACCACCCTAGAAGCCTAATTTAAATCTAATCTTCCTGAAATTTTCCCAGAAATGATCCCTGTACTTTTACTGTATAAAATAAGTTAACAAATGACAGTCTGGGGAGAAAATACAGTCTTTTCAACAAAAAGTACTGGGAAACCTGATTATCTATCAATAATTGCAGAAAAATGAAACTAGGCCCCCATCGCTCAACATTTATTAAAAATTAACTCAAAATGGGGCCGGCAGGTGGTGTGGTAGTTAGAGGTACTGAACTCCCACATGCCTGACCATGGTTCAAGCCCCAGATCTGATGACTTACTTTCTTGCTTTCCCTCTTTCTCTCTTCAAATTTAAAAATAATGATAAACAAAGATGAATAAAATAATTCTTTAAAAAAAACTTAACTCGAAATGAATGAAAGACTTAAGCATAAAACCCCAAACCACTAAACTACTGGAGGAAAAAGAACAGACACTTTAAAATATTGGAGTAGGCAAAGATTTCTTATATAAGACCATGTGGTTTACTATACACTTCGAGTCCTGGACCCAGTGGCTTGGGGAAAAAAAAAAAAAATTCAACATCTTTTATCATAAGGGAAATACATATCAAAACCACAAAAATGAAATAACAAAATAAAATAATAATTAGACAAAACAGAAATAAGAATAGGTTTGAAAGAAAGGAGTAAAACCTATTTTTTAAAAATTTATTATTTATTTATTTATTTATTTATTTGGGGGAGGCCTGGAATCCTGGGGTGATGGCCATGCCACAACTCTTTTTCCTCTACTGTCCTCTGGGAATTTTTGGAACACATGTATATGTACCCAACATGTTTTTCAAGCCACTGGAACCAGGACTCAACCATACAGTCAGCCATATGGGACCCAATGACCTTAACCACCATGCCACTGGCTGGTCCGGGAAGTGGTTCTTAACACAAGGAAATGGAGAAATATCTTAAAATAGCTATCTCTACCTAGTCGGTCAGAGGTGACAGTGGAAGTGAGCCTGAGTTGGAGCAGAGGACTCTCCTAGGGTTCCCCAGCCCAGCCCCTCTCCTCTCTACACTGCCTCCCCCAAACTGGGTTCAGAGCCAAAGAGAGGATGTTAGGGAAGCATGGTGAGACCTTGTACTACTCAGGGTTCTCCAGAGAAACTGAGAAAAAGACTGTATGTGTATATATATATATATATATATATACACACACACACACACACACACACACATATATTTACATACATAAAGAGATGTGTTATGGGGAATTGGTACATGTGACTGTGAAGGCTAGAAAGTCCCAGAGGCTCCACCTGGGAGCTGGAGACCCAGAAGCAACCATGGTGTGGTTCAGTCCAAGTCCCAAGGCTTGAATACCAGGGAGCAATAGTGTAAATCCCAGCTGTTGGGCTGTAGCAGAAATGTCTCTTCTCAAGCAGGCAGTATTCGGGAACAGAAGGGGCTCATTCTTCCCCTCCATGTTTTGGTCTATTTGGGTCCTTAAAGTATGGGATGCTGTCACTTGCACTGGGGTGGACTGCCTGCTTTCCTCAGTCCAGCCACTCAAATGCTCCATCTTCCCCGGATATGCCCTTACAGTCATACACAAAAGATAACATTATTATTATTGGGATTTTTTTTTTTAGGTTTTTTTTTTTTTGCCATAGGGCATGTATGCACGCTTGAGAAAGATAGAGGGAAAGTAAGAAACCACTGCCTTGGGGAGATGGTCATGCTGCAATCCATTCTCTTCCATTCTCCTTTCGGGATTTTGGGCACACACACATGCACCCTACAAATTTCAAGTCACTGGGTCCAGAACTCAAACCAAGGTAGGCCATGTAGAAGTACAGCACCCTAACATCAAATCACTTGCTGGCTCCAGAAGACAATTTAAAAAAATTAGGAAGATGGAGCCAGCAGAAAACGTAATGGTTACATCATTGGACTCCCACATGGCCAACAACACTTTGAGTCCCGAATCTAGAGACTTGAAACTCACGCTGGACACATGTGCATGCATGACCAAAATCCCTAGAGGAGAATGAAGCAAAAAGGATTGTGGCGTGGTCATCCCCCTGTGGGGTGATTTCTCACTTTGTGTCTCTCTCTCTAGAGAGCACACATGTCCTATAGCAAAAATCTCTCTTAAAAATAAAATTAAGAGGAGATACCAGCAGATGGCATAATGGTTACGTCATTGAACTCCCACATAGTTGACCAGAGTTTAAGTCCTGGATCTGGTGACTTGAAACTCATGCCAGGTGCATGTCCAAAATCCTGGGGGAAAAATAGAGGAGAACAGACTGGTGTGGCCATTTACTTGTGGGGAGATTTATCACTTTCTGTCTCTCTGTCTCTCCAGTAAGCACACACGCCCTATAGCAAAAAGCTCTCTAAGGAAAAAAAAAAAAAAAAAAAAAGAAAATTAAGGAGAAAGCTTCCCTCATAGCTTAGTGGTTAGTAGAACCAGATCCTACATGGCCAATCATGGTTCAAATCTCAGCCCTGGAGGTTTGAAAAACACACCAGGTGTTTGCTGGCAAAACTTAATTTTAGATACAGCAAGTTTGTAAGGCTTACTGAACAAGGATATCCAGCAGACTTTTAGACACACAAATCTAAAACTAGGGATGATACCTAGAACTGATGATACTAAGTGTTATTAGTATATAAGTGTTCCTAAAAACCTTCAGAATAGGTGAAATTTTCAAAAATAGGGACCTAACAAGCTCATAAGCAACCCCCAAACCTAAAAGGTATATCCAAGGAAGAACATCGTGAATGAGACCAATAAAAAGTTACTAGAAAGATATGAAAACTAGGAAAGAATGGCATCAGTGAAGGAGATTGACAATAAGGAAGTGACTAATACTCTCCGCTGTTCCAGACAGTCTATAAAAATCAGCTTCGTTGGGACCAGCAGTTAACGTAATGGCTATGTTGCTGAACTCCCATGTAGCTGACCACAGTTCGAGTCTCGGACCTGGTGGCTTAAACTCACACCGAGCAAGCATGTATGCGTACCCAAGATCCTGAGAGGAGAATGGAGAAGGGATTGTGGCGTGGCCATCTCCCCTGGGGGGTGATTTCTCACTTTCTGTCTCTGTCTTTCTGGTGAATGCATGCGACATGTATTGCAAAAACCTCTCCAAAAAAAAAAAAAAAAATCAGCTTTTTTGTACATCTAGTGTCTTATTTCCCTAAGTAGAGAGTTCATTTCTTTAGGTCAGATCATTTTATTTCTTTGTATGACTTACAGTCCCAATGTAATATCTTGCACAAAAAGTAAAATTCTCAAAGAAAATATACCTATCAGCTGTGAGGAATAACAATTTATTTTCTTCAACAAATAATATAATTATATTCTCCAAGTAAACTAAATAATGTTTTGAAATTGTGATTAAAAATTTGAAAAGTATACTTATCTTGAATAATTACCTGGACAAAAGCAACTCCTGTCATCAAAATTATAAGGGAGAGCCACTGGTATACACCTAACTTTTTACTAAGCATAGATACAGAAAATAATGCTGTTGTAAGAATTTTCAACTGATATGTGACCTGAAAAAAAAAAAACAATATTATTGTTTTTTTCTTTCTTTCTTAAAAGGACTATTAGAAATGTGTTTTAAGTACCTGATAAGTAGCAGCATCTAGATTGGAGAGAGCCACATACAGCAAATTATTCTGAAGAGTATATATCCCTGAGGGGATAGCGAGCTTAAGTGTCTCCATAGGCTTATTAAGAATTTCATCATGCAGTACTCGATTCAGTGCTCTTAGACTACATTCTAGGAAAAAAACACATGAAATGGAAAAATAAAGTGGTTAATGCTTGATAAATTATACAGCCATCTGTTTTCTTTTCTTTTTTTTTTTTTTGTTTTTTCAGAAGTTTTTGCCATAGGGCGTGTGTGCTCGCCAGACAGAGAGAGAGACATAGAGACAGAAAGCGAGAAATCACCCCCTAGGGGGGATGGCCATGCCACAATCCCTTCTCCTTCATTCTCTTCTCGGGATTTTGGGCACACACGCACACATGCCTGGCGTGGGTTTTAAGCCACTGGGTCCGGGACACGAACCGTGGTCGACCACATGGAAGTCCAGCGACATAGCCATTACGCTAACGGCTGGTCCCTTGCCATCTGTTTTCTTTACCTGTAAATAAAGGAAACTGAGGTGCATGTTAAGATATTTTTGGGGGAGTCAGCCTCGTGGTCTGATGGTTCAGTGAGCCAGATTCCATGTAGCTGAACAAATCCCAGCCCTTGCCACTTGAAAAGCATGCCAGGTGTGTGTGTGTGTTTTATGCCTTAAATCCCAAAAGGATGGTGAAATGGAGAAGGGACTGCAGTATGATCACACTTCATTGGAAGTTGCTTTCTACCTCTTCCTCTCTCTTGGTCTCTGTCTCTCTCTCTCTCTGGCAAGCAAACATGCCCTCTAGCAAAAGAAAAAAATAAAGATATGTTTAGGCCTAAAATATACCTTTATAAGCTAATTTTTCAAATGTTAACTATAATTTCAAGAAGAGCGTTATCTTATAGTCTTTTGTTCTTGTTTTGATGGCTAGAGAGCACATGCTCTCCAGAGAAAGAGAGAGAGAGAGGAAACACCCCCCCCCAGTAGAATGTGGCCATGCTGTAACCATTTTCCTCCATTTCTCTATCCTGTCCTGGACATGCACATACACAGGTTGAGCATTTTTCAAATCACAGGGATCCAAACCACAGAGAGCCATACGGGATCTGTCTCCCAGGGTACAGTGCTTAGCTACTATATAAGGGGGCTGGGCCTAGTGTTTCATTTATATGTACCAGAGACTTCAGAATTTTGGGGAAAAATAGAAGTACAAATTTATTTTGTACCAACAAATCTTGAAAACCATTGATAGTATTTTCATAATATGTATTTTCCATTAACTTTGAAGACCCCTTGTATAATCAGACTATACACACATAACTACCTACATACACACACACACGTATATACATAGTATTTATGATAACCAAAAGCTTAAAGTATTAATCATCTAACAAATACTTTTTTTCCCCTTTTTATTTATTTATTTTTTTGAGAGGTTTTTGCTATAGGGCGTGTGTGCTTGCCAGAAAGACAGAGAGAGACAGAGACACAGAAATCACTCCCCAGGGGGGATGGCCACACCACAATCAGATCTTAGGCATGCATGCACACGTGCCCAGCATGACTTTAAGTCACCAGGTACAGGACTCTTAACTGCGGTTGACTACAAGGGAGTCCAGCAACATAGCCATTACACCAACTGCTGGTACCCAAACAAATATTCTTAATTTACTGCAGGAACATTATAAAACTTGTATTTCACATATTCTGTTTATCATCTGCCACTCATGTGAATTAATAATTGTGAAGACTAATTGTGAAAAGGTAAATCAGGGAGTAGGTTTGGCTGCAAACAGTGGGAAGTCCAGCGACATAACCATTATGTCATCTGCTGGTCCCCTGAACCTCTGGTTCTTATTTTAGGTATCAAGAAAGAAGAGGGACCAGCAGATGTCATAATGGTTACATCGCTGGACTCCCACATAGTCAACCACAGTTCGAGTCCTGGACCTGGTGCCTTAAAACTCATGATGATCGCATGTGCGTGAGTGCCCAAAATCCCCAGAGGAGAATAGAGGAGAAGGGACTGTAGCATGACCATCCCCCTGGAGGAGTGATTTCTCCTTACTTTCTGTCTCTGTCTCTCTGGTGAATACATACACCCTATACCAAAAATCTCTCTCAATCAATCAATCAATCAATAAATCAATAAATAAATAAATAAATAAATAGAAAGAAAGAAAAAGAAGAGGAAACAGTAGCCAAGACGGTGAATTCCTCACTCTCAGTGACCAGCACTGTGTCGCATAACTACCTCTACCTGCGAGGGAGCTTGGAAATTAAATCTTTTCCTTTATTTCCTCCACATTACAAACAGGAAAGGGATAGAGGGATTGGGAATGGGCTTTGAACTAGACAACTTACAGTACTAATCACAAAAAAAAAAGTCTGAAGAACTTTAAGAGATATATAAATCCCACAAGAAAGGAGAAATTTTAAAGAGCCCTACTAGGTCAGGTGTTGGCAAGATGGTTAAGGCAGCTAGATACCGCATGGCTGACTACACAGTTTGAGTCCCAGACCTGGTACATGTGCATGCTTGCCCAAAATACCAAGAGGAGAATGGAGAAGGGACTGAGGCATGGACATCCCCGAGAGGTGCTTCTTCATTTTCCTCTCCCTCTTTCTTTTCCTGGTGAGTATATGTGTCCTCTAGCATATTAAGAAAAAAGTAATTACAAAATATATTACCATTTTTTGGGACCAGCAGTTAGCGTAATGGCTATGTCGCTGGACTCCCACGTAGTCGACCGCAGTTCAAGTCCCAGACCTGGTGGCTTAAACTCACGCCGGGCGCGTGTGCGTGCGTGCCCAAGATCCCGAGAGGAGAATGGAGGAGAAGGGATTGCAGTGTGGCCATCCCCCCTGGGGGGTGATTTCTCCCTTTCTGTCTCTCTGTCTCTCTCTGTCTGTCTGGCGAGCGTACATGCCCTATAGCAAAAACCTCTCCAAAAAAAAGAAAAAAAAAAAACCATATTACCACTTTTTGACAATAATATATGGTAGATGACTTTCTTTCTCTCCCATTACAAAACAAGAAAACTTTTATTATAAGGAGTCTTTTAAAATAAAAAACAAAAACTTGAAAGACTGCTACCTGATGCCAACCCTTTTCTTACCCCAGAGTAAGACAAGATTTCAAAAAGTTTATAGAAAATTAAATCAAAGTAAAAGTTTACTTTCGTTTAGAATAAAATTACTTGAGATCTATAAATAATTTTTCATAATGTGTATTTTCCACAAACTTTTTGAAGGCTCAAAACTCAAAGAAGTGCTAAGTTGGGACCAGCAGATGGTATAATGGTTACATTGCTGAACTCCCCCGTGGTCGAACATGGTTCAAGTCCCAGGCCCAGTAGCTTAAAACTCATGCCGGGCATGTGCTTGCGTGCCCAAGATCCTAGAAGGAGAATGGAGAAAGAGGGATTATGGGGTGGCCATCCCCCAGAGGGTGATTTCTTGCTTTCTGTCTCTGTCTCTGGTGAGTGTACACACCCTATAGCAAAATCTCTTAAAAAAAAAAAATTACTATCATTCCTCTAAAGTTTTTTTTTTTTTTTTTTTTTTGGGGTTTTGCTATAGGGCACATGTGCTTGCCAGAAAGATAGAGAGATAGAAAGCAAGGAATCACTTCCCCAGGAGGGATGGCCACACCGCAATCCTTTCTCCTACACTCTCCTCTCGGGATCTTGGGCAGGCACGCACATGTTCCCAGTGTGCGTTTAAGCCTCCGGGTCTGGGACTCAAACCACGGTCAACTACATGGGAGTCCAGCAATGTAGCCATTACGCCAACTGCTGGTCCCTGATTCCTCTAAAGTTCTAACAGTTACGAAATTACTGAATTTACCTGTTCTCAAATTATTTTAAGTGCAAGAAACTATGCTTCATATTTATAGCATTAACCAGAAAACATGAACCATGCTAAGGATTACAATAAAATGCCTTTATTATGGGACTGAAACTGCCTTAACAGAAAAAAAATTTGAGAGAGATTTTTGCTATATGGCGTGTGTGCTCGCCAGACAGACAGAAACAGAGACAGAAAGTGAGAAATCACCCCCCAGGGGGAATGGTCGTGCTGCAATCTCTTCATTCTCTTGTCAGGATCTTGGGCACATATGCAAACGCTTCCAGTGTGAGTTTTAAGCCACCAGGTCCAGAATTCAAACCATTATGCCATCTGCTGGTCCTCCTAAAAAAATTTTAAAATACTGAAATGTTCTTCTACACTAGGGCTGTAGGTAATGGGAGATTTCAATTGTGTAGCTATCAATATATATTTATATAAAATGTAAATCAAATAAATTGAACTGATTAAAAACAAAAAACCTAGATACCTACTGCTGTCTTTGTAGACTAATAAAATGCAGGCCATTATCTTCAAAAGTTCGGCAACAACCACTGCTGTAGAAGATAGATAACGAGGTCCTTCTTCTTTTAAAGTTCTAGAATAACGCATTGTTAGAACCAAACTGGTAGTCTGAAAGACCAAAATTCCCAAGGAAAGGTATTTTAGGTTGGCGGACATTGTTTTATCTTCATTTGCCTGAAAAACAAAGAGGGCAAATGAATAAAATTATAAAATACATACACATATATTAAAAACAAAAAAAGGACTTCTGGTTCTAGACAAGATGGAGAAAGTACATTCTACCCTAATGTGCCTACTAATTACAATAAAGAAATCTTAAACCAGTGACTAAAGCAACTACCAGAAGGCTCTGAAAGGTAAAGAAAATAAAGCCAATTGGTTAGAGATCTCGGGTCTTGAGGAACGAACTGACAATTAATTCCCTGGAAATTTTCTGCCACCTATTTATCACCTCACAACCTGGAACTGCCAACAGGTGCAGAACAACAATAAATAGCTCACAAGAGAAATGGGTGCCCAAAAAAATCGACAGCTGTCTTGCACAGGACAAAACCCTTTCAACGGTAGACTGTAACCTGTGGGATAGAGCTTTGCTGTCAATCTCCACCACTCTGCACCAATGAGAGTAGAGGTGGTCCTTCCCCTTCTCTCCAGGGGCTGAGCCACAGAGACTATGGGGCAGAGTTCTGTGGGCCATTCCTGCCCTATACAAGGCAAATGTCAGTAAAGAAAAAGTACTCTTTCTTCCCCTTCCCCACAGTAGTATCTATTATTACAGAAGATTTAAATAGAAATCAGAGCTTCATAACATAATGCTTGAAATGCCCTATATAACCCAAAATTAATATACTCATCATACCAAAACTGGGCAGGAGGGGGATCTCAATTTGGATGAAAATCAACAGACAACAAAGCAGATATGACACAGAACATTGGAATTATCAGACAAGAATATCAAAGAAACTATGATTAAAATGCATCAAGAAATTATAAACATTCTTGAAATAATTTTAGACTCATACAGAAGTTGAAAAAATAGTACCAGAATTCTCACATACTCTTCATTCAGTTCCCTCCATGACAGTAGTTGCGAAGTACCTATATTTTCCCTAAAGTAATTCAGTGTTAATCCAAGGAACTCACTTCAATATGAAGATACAATTATGTTAAAAATTAAAAGGCTAGAAAAAGACATACCATGAGAAAAATAACAATATAAAGAAACAAAGCTTAGCAGGAGAGGAGAGCCAGAAAAGTGACAGAGAAGCCATAGGTTGTAACAGACTTGTGAACTCAGTCAAGCACAATGGTGGCAGGGCTTAGCTGCTACAAAGAAGACCTTTTAGATAATACTCATGTGTATGGGCAAAAAATACAAGGACTGTATTTGTGACTAATTGTATAACAAGTTTAGTTTCTGTTCTGTGGAAAGTGTAAAGCCTTCCAACAAAGGATTTTAATGTAGATTTTTTTTTTTTGCACCCATGCTGTTGATCACTAAATGTAATAGTCTGATCATGACGCTGAATAAATGTGTCTTAAAAAAAGAAAGAAAGAAAGAAAAATAACTATAAAAAATTGGAGGGGCTATGTAAAAATCAGACAAAATAGATTATATAAGAATTGTTTCGGGATCAGTGGTTAGTGTAATGGCTATGTTGCTGAACTCCCATGTGGTCGACGTGGTTTAAGTTCCAGACCCGGTGGCTTAAACTCACGCTGGGCGCGCGTGTGTGCATGCCCAAGATCCCGAGAGGAGAATGGAGAAGGGATTGCGGTGTGGCCATCCCCCCTGGGGGGTGATTTGATTTTATTCTAAATCCAATAGTCTAATCTCCATAACTCACTCACTTCTCAGGATAAAAATAATTTTAAGTATAAGATAACATGACCTGGGACCAGCGGTTGGTGTAATGACTATGTTGCTGGACTCCCATGTGGTTGACCGTGGTTTGAGTCCCAGACCCGGTGACTTAAACTCATGCCAGGAGTGCATCTGTGTGTGTGTGCGTGTCCAAGATCCCAAGAGGAGGATGGAGGAGAAGGGATTGCAGCACTGCCATCCTCCCTAGTGGGTGATTTCTCACTTTTTGTCTCACTTTCTGGTGAGCGCACACACTCTATCGCAAAAACCTCTCAAAAAAAGAAATAAATAAAAAGAATTATTCTGGGGGCGGGGTAGCAGGTGGCATGGTGGTTAAGGGCACTGGACTCCCACACGTGGCTGACCACAGTTCGAGTCCCAGACCTGGCAGCTTCCTTTCTTACTTTCCCTATTTCTCTCTCTCTCTCACTCTGTACCTCTCTGGTCAAATTAAAATGTACATACATACATACATATATACATAAATGAATTTTTAAAAATTTGGAAAAATTTTTTTTTTAAAAAAAGAATTCTTTCTGGGATCAAAAAAGGATGTTTTAGGGCCAGACAGTGAATTGTGTGGTGGCTAAGGCAGATGGATTCCACAGGCCAGCTGCACAGTTTGAGTCCTGCCGGGGTCCAGCCTCGGCGTGGGTGGGTTATCTTGACGAAGGCAGCGAAGGTGAACAGAAGACAGAGGCCTCGATGCCTTTTATGCACGTCTTATGCCGGACACCCCTCAGAGGTCGCCCTCTGAGGAGTGACGACTGCTAGGAATTATCGTGCGTTTTTATTGAAAACGTGTTACATGCAAGTAAAGGGAGAGGGGCTAGTGTTTTAATTAACAGCTCATAAAGTTTTTA